CTGAAATTCAGTCGACGTAAGGTACCTTTTGCTATTAAGAAAATCTAAAGTAGGCCTATTGCCTTTCAGGATAATAAGGATAATAAATAGAATACTTTAGGCACAGCCCTTCTCTCCAGCACCATTCTGTCAATAAAATATACATGACAAAGTTTATACGGTTGAAATAAAGACTATGACAAAGCTCAAAGCAGTAACAATAGAACATTGGTAAGCATAAAACGTTTTTTATATTGTGTGTTCTCGTTTCAAAGTTGGCTCAGGCCTGCTTTGGATTTTTATTTTAATTGAAAATTAAGGTTGTAGTTCAGCCAAAAACATGTTTTTACATGTTACTGAACAACAAAGACGAATTGTTGCTTATTGGTGATTCGCAGAGGACCAACTTTTTTCTTTGATATGCGTAGGCTACAAATTAAAAAAAATTTTTTGTTGAAAATATGGAATATAATATTATTTAGTGTATTCTATCAACGTTATTAGCTGACAAACTGTGTTTTTTAAAATCAACGGCCTATAGCAGCATCAGCAGTAGCAGCAGCAGGAGCAGCTCAGAAGTTGTACATTTCGTTCATTTAACATAATATACAATTCTGTTCCAAGAATAATTATCGATCGTTAACAGAGGTATTTTCTAAGTCTTGACACTCAACATGTCTTCATTAATAAACGTTTTCATTAAAAAAAAAAAAAAATTCTTGTGGAGCTAATTTCAATCGGTTTTTATTTCTGCTTAATAATGTATAAGACATATTATTGAAAATGAAATAGGTCATGTATTGGCTGATTTACAGTCCTCCAAAAGCCCAATTTGAAATAAGGAAAAGCGAACAAGAACTAAAACCTGTTCACTTTCGCCTGACCGCCATTAAAACGGGATAAAAGCAAATCGCCCAGCTTAATCTGTAAAGTTTTTTGCATGCCGGTCTAAAAGTTGGATGATCAACAGAATCTATAGGCCCATTAATGGCGTTCAATGCCAACAAAAGTTCCGACATACTAATTTTCTTTGAGGTCAGTCAAAGCCGGTTAAAGAAATGAGAGGAGATTTACAGCACATACTTAAAACATTTTAAAGGTTGGCTTATTTTCATCCACACCACACTTTAACGCACAACAGTGTAACACGGTCCATGAGACGATGGAATACTTTTCGAGACTCACATGGGCAGGGGCGGTTTGTTAACTGGTCAGCCGCCAGTGCACAAGGGGATATTTATATAGTACAGTATTGTTTTGACGTTCTTGGGAGGAAATCGACAAGCTTCTCCTGCATGTCCACCAACGCAGAAAATACTCGAGTTTTTAAATTTTAGTCTCTCACTGCGACTATGACATTAGGTTTTTAATGCAAATTGAAACTTGTAAATTCTTTAAAGGTCTGGCTTGGCCCACAGCTGATGAGTCACTTCATAATATATTATATGCACCTCATAATTCTACACTTATAGAAGCGGAACTCCTCTCTCGCGATCATTGATTCGCTGTGAAGAATTGAAACTGAAACTGAAACTGAAACATGGCGGCATGTTGAGGGCAGCGTTGGCTGCGACGCACAGCCAGGCTTCGAGATTGCGCTGCTATGCACGTTGATGCTAGTGATAGGGCTTGGAAGACACCTTACATCAGTATTTTAAAATTGTCTTTGAAGAGGAAATATAGTGAAATAGTACATTTTTATTGCCAACTATCTGGACTGTTATAATAGGTAATGTTACAATCTTTTTGTGTTTTTGGTTTGTTTTAGTAATGATGGGATGGTGATCTAGATCTACACACTCACAATACACTTGGTATTAACAATAGGCTAATCAATTCTGTTGGCAAAATATCTAGATCTACATCTAGTCTTGATTAGTACTACGATAAAGGGGATGCAGACACTAACATGCTCACTACAATTACTTGTCATTAAACGCAAGGCCATCCACAGCAAGGAAAAATAATATAGGCCTTTTCTCCAATTAACTATAAAGAGATAAAAAATTGAGCCTATATTGAGGAAAATGTATTATTTCTCACTGTAAGAATTCATCTCTGTGTTTTCATCAGTGAAATATAGGCTAGTTGTACAACATGCTTTATTTAAAGTACATGCGAGTCTGACAAATACTAGAGATTAGAGAATATAAACACACATTCATGAACATGTATTTGAAAAAATGAGTGGTCTCTTGTTGCGGATCAAATCTATGCCCTGTTACAATTCAATAATTGATAATAGCGCGCATTGCAATGCATTGGCTAACCCTGCAATATACGGTTTTTAGTATTAATACATTTTGCGGATCTGGAATCTGTAATTGTAATCATAATAGGTGCCCACGCGTGGGAAGTGAAAGTGAAAGGAATTGAAAATACTGTCAAACACAATTATGAAAGTAACAAAATTAAAGTACAATATGTGCTTATAAAGACCCTAATAGGTGTATGAATGCGGAAACTAATGTTTTGGATGAAAATGATACGCTGATTCTACTATAGTGTGGTCTAAAATGTGTAGCCCAACTAATTATCAAAAATCTCCTTAACTATCGAACATAGATTCTCCAACTTTTACAAAATGACTTAGATCTATATCAATTCGTCATAACTGATGAGTATTTTTTTAAAACATCTGTATTCATTATTCTAGAACTTTCTTTAAAGAAAACTCTTTAATAAATACTAATTTTAAAATTTTAAAATCCCAGTCCGTGGTTTCTACAGATTTTTAAAAGTTTACAGCTGGAACAATATCTCTTTTTAAAAACAAGTCGTCCTTTTTTTCTACTGGCGACCTAAAGCTTATTGAAGGCATGTTTTGAGAAAATTAAGTGAAAAAATATGCTAATAATAATAGATAGCATCTGTATAGCGCAAATCCCCGCTCAACAACAAACTCTATGCGCTTCACAATCTGTACTATAAAATCTATTTCTTGTAACAAAATTCAATTAGCGGTTTGAGTAATCATGACAATACATGTATGTGTTAACTAGAGTATGTCAGTAGAGACAGGTTTAATAATGAATACTACTGATGAAATTATAAGATGTTTTGTTAAAGACAGTCTAGTCCTTTGTTAGCAACAGAAGAGCCGAGAGCCAAATTGTCAAGAAAGATTGTCTTCATGCAGGCTCTTTCCCTCGGAGGTCAACTGCTCAATTCGCCGAGCTGGGTGATGTCACCACTGAGCGCACGATACAAAGGCGGGCAACGTGACAGTGTGACAGCACAGCTGGTAACATGAAAGTTAGGAACGAATTTCTGTGGTGCGACAACGCATCGGAAGGCCCTTATTATCTCCTGGGGAGTATTTTTATAGGGAAAGTGCTGTTTTAATGTTGATCAGTATAATTTGGATTTACTATTAAGATTAACTAAGAACTATCAGCAGCCAATCTCTTGTCCACTATAGCTGACTAAAAGTGACCGGCTCATCTGGTCTTGCTCACATAAAACGAACGGCGCCAGATAATGAGTCACAAGTCTTTCTTTTGCTAAAATAACTTCTCTAAAGTTGGCATCTTTTCCTTGCAAAATAGCTCTGACAATGTTTCAAAAGACGCTCAAACGAAGGCTGTGTCATTCTTAGGTACTCTTTATGTTCCTCATCATCTTACATGGTATCTGGAAACAAGTGATGAAGCTCGCTACATGTTGATCTTGATTGAACTATTGGGTGTGTCTAATGTTTATGGCATCTTTTCCCAGCTGCTTTCCTTCTTTTCAAGCATAACCACAGCAAAGGAAGCCTCTTCAATCGAGATGCCATCATAAACAAATTGTGACGAATCTATTTATAAACACAGTACGCTAGCGTAGATCTACACATCAGGGGAATAAGAAAGCCAGTACATTATGTCAACAGGCTAGACAGACGTGTGGTATCTGAACTGGTGGATACAGCCGGAGGAAACGAACAGACCGATTTTCCTCCTCCCGATAACCCCCCCCCCCCCACCCCCACCCCAAAAAAACAAACAACAACAACTCCAAACAAAACAGGTCGACACAAACTTGGCTGCAGATTGGTGTTGCTGTCTCAAAATGAGCAATATTTGTAGCCTATGGGGCCTGTTTAGAGCTCCAACACAGTGCGTCCAGCATCAGACCAGCAACAGCACAGCGTCTGTCAAGCATTTTGCTGGGTCTTTGCTGTGCTGGTGTCGTGCTGTATGACATTAAGTAGTGTACCCGTCACTGTTCCAGCGTGTTGTGTGTAGTACGGAATTCGAATTGAAACTTGGCAGCTGAAATATTAACTATTTTATATTGTTTGAAAAAAAGACGTTGTCATACTAGAAGAAGGTTTTGGGTTCATAGCATCCATCAACGAAGAGAAACTTACGGCGAATTCCACCATCTTGTAGATGAAGTTTTAAGTGATGAGGAGAAATGCCTATCATACATTCGGATGAAACCAAGTACTTTTTACATGCTTCTTGAATTGATTGGACCCCATATTGCAAATAGAGAGACAAATTTTCGAAAATCGATCCCTGCTAAAGAACGGCTTGTGATAACTTTGAGGTAAGAACAATTCAAATATAAATAATAAATATATAGCACTTTTCCCGGCCCATATGTTAGCTCAGAGCGTTTTACAATACTACTCCTGACGGGCAACGCACATAAGACATTTAGGACACCACATGCAGCCAGTTAGGCGCTTTTACAATCATTTTTTGACAAGGACAACACGCATTACCACGATTCGCTTTCGTCGTCATCGAGTCTCAAACCCACGACATATTAGGGGCCGTTCACAAAACATGTGGATAAATTTTGACCATTTTGGACCCCCCCCCCCCCTTTGCAGGTGTGGACAAATGACACCCCCTCCCCTCCCACACACACACACACACACCCCACTAGCTGTCCATATGGTTTGTGAACGGCCCCTTACATGAATTTGATTGATTCCACAAAGCTTTTAACTTTTATCTTTATATTTATCTATTTCACTTTTTTTTATCAACACACACACACACTTGTTCACTGAAACTAAGACAATGTGCAATGGAAAAAACTTGCTGTAATTTATTTGTATTGCTGGTTCTGGTGATACTGGTATGGGTCGCCTGGTGGGGAGGACATTGGATCAACTTGTGAGCCTGCAGTTGCTGGGACATACTGGTTGTATTGGTACGTGTTGTTATCGGCAAAAGCTGAAGAAGATGCGGGTGATGGGGTTGGATAATGCATCGTTGCTTTCACACTGTGGTGATGGCTGTCTCGAACGCCGCAGATATCTTAGAGCTGTATTGTTGAGCTCTCCACGGAACTCAAATTTAGAGATTGGGTCCAGCCCTTTCATCACCGGTAACAAACTCAACAGGAACTGTTCGTCATCGTCCTGGGGTGGTTTTTGTGTCTGTTGTTGTTGCAACCCTTTAAGGGATTGTAGAAAGCGGATGGAGAGGTAGATCTAGATCCTCGGTCTTGGGGATACGGGGGATACGGTCTTTTCCTGGCATGCCGTTTGGGAGTAGCAGATGAGTTTGTAATATCTGGAGTATGGCTTGGACCAGGTTGTGGATTTGTGAATGGACTTCCACCCCGTGAAAACACATCAGTGTTGACTATTGTCTCCACGTTGTCCTCCCGAAGCTGGGATGCTTGTTGGAGTTCCTGCTCATCTTCCGGCCCTTCAATCAAATTGGTTGTTGAGGTATTTCCATCCTCAACAAAAGGAATTAAAAACAGCATGGCTTTGTACAGGTACCACGGTTTCTGGTATTTACCCCCTGATCCAGATTTATAAGTTGTTTCTTTCTTATGTTGCCTCCGGAAAGAATCCCTCAGCATTGCCCATTTCTTTCTTGCAGTTGTACCTATTGGGATGGTAATACATGTATATATTATAATATACCAGTAGACAGCATATTGATGACAGGTTGGAAAGAAAAAATAAAGTGGCCTGTGGTCTAGTGGTTAGACGGTTTGACTCGTGATCGGAAGGTCATGGGTTCGAAACCCGAAGTAAAGTCCTTGGGAAATGTTTTTTCACGCACTTTCCCCACCCCACTCTTGTGAAAACGAGTATAAGGCCATTAACAGTGCTGTCCACGTAAAAAAATGTAAAGCGCCTAACAGACTGCTACTGCTTGTGGTGTCCAAAATGTTATATCTTGCTGTCGATATGGGACTCCTTGTAAAGCGCACTGAGCACCCGCTATATAAAAGCTTGATATTACTATATACATGATTGGATTGGGGGGGGGGGGTACATGTTTGCGGGAAGGTGTTTTATATAGAGAATAGAGCAGATCTATCCAGTACTAGAAGTGTAAATTAATGGAAGCACTGAATGAGAAGAAAAGAAAAATAAATGAATAAATGTACTTCGACATTTGATGCAACAATTGATTATTGACCTAAACAAAAGTATTCAATGTTTGTAATTTCAGGTATCTAGCTTCAGGAGAAAACCATGTTTGTCTGTCATTCCATTTCCGTGCTGGTGTATCTACTATAAGAGAAATCACAACAGAGACGTGTGCAGTTTTGTGGGACGTCTTACTTTCACGAGTCATGCCTGCTCCGGA